CCCCAAAACCCCAAAACCCCACAGATTAAAATTAAGAATCATCTAAAGATATATCATTTATGAAATTAAGATTAAATCAGCCCTTTAAATAGATTTTATGATCAGGACCTATTATTCATTATTTTTCTTATAAGTTATCTTTGATTCCTCATTATCTTTTCTTAATAGATCTTACTCTATAAATTATCTTTCAAATACTTCCATCTTTTGCCATATTAATTGAAATCAATCACTTTCTTTAATTTTTTCTTAACGATTGGGATTTTAGTTTCTTCATCATTTATAGTAATCGCTGACTACTCTTAACTAAAATCATTTTAGGATTCCTAGATATAATTAATCTGAGATTCCAATTAAATGATTTTTTGTTTTCTTATGTTTTTATAAATATTGTACTGCTCTCTCAGAGAAGTAGGACTTTTCTATATTTTGTTTATAAGCTCATTAGCACTTCTGTCTGTTAATAGTTTCTATCCTATTGGAGCAAGAGAATGCTTTGACTATTTTTATTATATTCCTCTTTTAATTATCCTTAGATGTTTATCGATGCCTTCATTTTATTTTAGATTATGTTCACTATTTTCCCTAATTAATTCATCTTTTTAATCAATCAAATTAGTTTTATCATATTCTCTTCGCTCATCTGGAGTGACTGATTCTTTCTTCTGGTGCTTCTTTTTTATTTTCTTTACTTTTCCAGAGTCATCAAAATTTAGCTTAGGCAAATTATTAGCCATTCTTTCCTTATTAGTTAGATAAGAGGTCTTTTCATTTACTTTTTAAGGTGTAGTTACACCCCAAGAAGTCTTTTTATCATCAAGATCGCTTATCATTATCTGAGATATCTCTGTTTTCCTCTCCTTATTCACGAATGATTAATGACCAAATGTTTCTGTAATTGTGTAAAGATTAGATTCATTTTAAATCCTGCTACTAAGATCTTACTCAAATTAAGGAGAATCAGGTATCCTATACTACTATTAATAGTTATAATTATGGTAAATTCTTTGTCTAAGTATAGCTGGCCGATGATTAGGCCTGATATTCCTTGTTTGATTCTAGTAATAGTTTTGGGGAACATCTTAACTATCAGTTGATGAACTTTAAGATTCGTTATTTTAACTAACTGAGGAGTTATCTTGTGATTAGTTCTCAGAATAATATGACTCATTCGAGTTTTAAGAGGATGAAGAACAGTCCTCTGACTGGTCAAACTCAATTTGATCTTAAGCATTTAAATTGTGCTGGAGAATAAAGTCACTAATATATTGAGAATCTTTAGGCATTACATCCTCGATATTTTCATTCAAGTGTTGAATAATACTCTCCCTTATTTCATCACTAGTCTTAACTCTTTTCTTTTCAATTTAGTTCATGCTGTAAACTGGGAAATCCCCTCCGTATTCCATTAAGAATTTTCCAAAGTTTGCAAGCTAATAAGATAAATCTCTACAATTATCGATTGTCTTACTCAACTGCTTCTAATTAAACATCAACTCACAAACCTAAATATATAAAAATTCAATTGGAAAAATGTTACTCTGAATCCTTAGCTGTCTACTTTCTCTGCCATCAATTCAGTCTCTTCTTTTGAAATTAATATTTGCCTTTCAGCTTTCATTAAAAGTAATTCAGTTTCTGGTTCTTTCTGCTATTGCACACTAACAATATTAAAATAGTGAAGTTAGCTTACAACCTTACATGCTTCATGTCTTTGGCTTATTTAAGTATATCAAAGAGTTTAGGAATTCTTGAATTATTTCTCTAATACATGAATTTTTTATCTTTAATTTTAAGAAAATTGTAGAAAATGAAAGCCTTAATTAGCTTTCCTGCCTACTCTTTAAGTTTTTCCTTATCCTGATCTATAACTATTTACTTGAATGCTTATTAATCTTCTTGTTGGAAGTAGGTTAGATTTTGAGAGCTGACAACAAATATTGAATAAATTGATACTCCCCAAATGCATGCAACAATTAAGAATACTCTTCCCCATAAAGTAGCTGGAGTTTAATCACCATATCCTATAGTGTTGAATGTTACAATTATTAGCCACATTGATTAGGACAGATCTAAAATTTCGCCTTCTTCTATTTGTTGCTCAAATATCATAATACAAAAACTGAAAACAATTAAGCCAATCCCATATGCAAATACCAATATTTTTAATGGTCTAAGTCTCATGTTTACTTTGAAAAAGAACTTGAAATCAGCTTTTATTCCATTATTCTCGCATAATCTCTCAGCTCTCGCATCAGTATATCTAGATCTGAGCAGTAAGATATCTGAGAAAGGAGAAATTTTCAAGAATTATAGTATCATTATAATAGCACCGATCGTGTATTTAGTACTGATACCAAAACTAGTGATGTAGAATTCAAAGTCAAGTCCAGGATAACAAATGAAAAAATTAATGAAAGTCTAGATCATGTAATTTGTAATAAATCTTTTGTCGAAGGTGCTTACTAAAAAATATTTAACTTATAATTTACATTTCTCATTTAGGCGATTTTCTTGAAGTGATACTAGAGCGACTGCTTCTTTATGGTAATGATGATTAGTTATCAAATAAATGAAAAGTAGAACGCAGTTGCTTAATCTCATTATAGTTATGTTTTATTTGAAATCACCAACAAATTAAGGTACTTCTTCTGGGAACACTTACTATAAAAGTCAATTTTAATTAATATTTTACCTCTAGCATCACTAAGATTATCATCATACTCATTAAGAACACTCTAGTAAGACAGAGCTAATGCATTTTTTACTTTACCTTGCTAATCTCAAACTCATTTACCTTTTTTCCATTCATAATTTCAGGTATATTTAAAATTCTTTTATTTTTTTAGCTCTTTATCATCAAAATGACTTGCTTTTAAGTTTTTTAGGTGCTATTAGTCAATGATTTCTTGATTAGCATTCAATCTGTTTAAATAGTTCCGTCTAAAATGATCAAACATACTTATGTGAATTGACTTACTAATATTGGTTCCTTATTATTGTTGATCAAGTGGCTTTTAATTTTATGTCTCAATATTTTAAAGAGTCCTTCTCGTTAATATAGATTTTTTACGTCTTTATATAGCTTCTGGCTACGCATTAAAATCAGTTCTTAGAGTTTGCTAGTCTTTCAGCAATCCTCGCTCTGTTGTTGCTATATTCTAATTCAAAGTTTGATGTCTATATTTTCTTCTTAATGTCTTGAGATGTATCATTCAAGTTTACTTTAATAAAAGATTTATATCTGTAAAAAGGATTTGATTTATATATTAAATTATTTAATTACCTTAATCTTTGAAGGATACTTTTATTGAATCTAATGGGGTTTTGGGGTTTTGGGG